GAGGCCAGCACAGAGCACTCTGGTTAGGCAGGCTCGTTTCCAAAATAGAAAGCCTTTTACCGGTTTCCCAAGTCCTCCTGCTGGAGTGACGCTGTTTCCAGAGGATAAGCAGTGTGGCCAAAGGTGCTTGCTGCCAAGCCTGCCGTCCTGGCTTCCCCTGGGACCCATGTAGTAAAAGGAGAGGAGGGGCCTCTGAAAGCTGACTTCTGACTTCCTCAACAAGCATTGTAGCACTAGGTGCACGCACACAATAAATAACTAAATAAATGTCATTTTAAAAAATAGCTGGCCATGGTGGCGCACGCCTTCAGTCCCGGCACTCGGGAGACAGAGAGAGGCAAGTGGATCTCTGTGAGTTCAAGGCCAGCCTGGGCTACAAAGAGAGGTTTAGAACAGTTATGGTGGTTACAAAGAGAAACTGTCTTGAAAAAAACAAAACAAAACAAGGGCATGCAGGTAGTGAGATTGCTCAGTGGGTAAAGGTGCTCAGTGCCAAAATTGACAGCCTGAATTCGATCCCCAGGACCCACAGAATGGGCAGAATGGAAGGGTTAAAAAAAAAAAGCCGGGCGTTGGTGGCGCACCCCTTTAATCCCAGCACTCGAGAGGCAGAGGCAGGCGGATCTTTGTGAGTTCGAGGCCAGCCTGGTCTACAGAGCGAGTTCCAGGACAGCCTCCAAAGCCACAGAGAAACCCTGTCTCGAAAAACCAAAAAAAAAAAAAAAAAGTAAAACAGAAAAGAACACCAAGTCAATGGTAGTGCACACCCATAAACCCAGCACGTAGGAGGCTGGGGCAGGAGGACCATACATTCTAGCAAGACTCTGCCTTAAGAAAAAAGGAAGGAAGCAAAAGAGAAGGAAAAAAGGGAGGCTAAAAAATGCGTGAAGCACATGTAAGCTGGCCTTGAACCTGTGGCTATTTTCCACAGCCTCCGGTGTACTGAGCTTACAAGCTTGCACCCACCGTGCCCAGCTTTTACCCCCATTTGTAACCCCATCACGTGGAGGCTGGGTGACAAGCCTGTAGACACTCAGCAGAGTTTTGGCCAAGTCCAACGTGATGTTACACACCTGGAATCCCAACACTCTCCAGACTTTAGCAAGAAGATCTCCAGCTCAATGCCAGCCTCAGCTACTGAGAACAAAAGAAGACAACAAGAGTGGAGGCCTCGGATCCCCAGTGGTGGCCATTTATTCCATATATAATATATTCCATATATCCCATATATACACATATATATATGCATGTATGCGTGTGCATGTGTTATGGTGCACATTGGAGGTCAGAGGGCAAAATGAGAGAGTCAGATCTGACTTTCTGTCATGTGAGCCTCAGGGATCAAGGTCATTGGGTCATCCGGGTTAGCGGCAAGCACCTTTAGCTGCTGAGTCATCTTGCATGCTCCCAGATTGCCGTTCAAGGAGCTGGACCCTTCTTGTGCTCAGTCTAGCATCCCAGGCTTTCTAACAGAGCCCAGAGCTATTTCCCTGGGGATCTGAGACAGGTTGACAACAGAGAATTTAACCTGACTTGAATTTGGTCACGATGGAGAGGGGGCTCACTGGGAGTTGCCCTGGGTTTAGCTGGAGAAGGGTGGGCACGCTCGCCTGTTGTCCTGCGAGGGGCTGGTCTTGGTGAAGGGCATCAGAAGCTGGCTGGCAGGCACCGCCAAAAGTTTTATGTATTCACTTTTTGCACTTGAAGTGCTCTTCGATGACATTCGTGGCCTGAGATTCTTTGCCGTAGTCCTTAACCACTACACAAGGGCAATAAACCACTTCCCATGTCTTCCCCTCTCAGTCAGTTTTACAGAGGCTGACCCATTCCCCTAGTTTCTTGTCATCAGCCTTACTTAGGTTGATTTGGCGCTCAGCACAAAGTGTCCCCATCAGCTCGAATATTGCATAGGCTCAGCACAGTTCGATGTAAGCACACGGGATGGGCTTGACTTTTGTCTAAGACTTTGCCAGCTTCATGTACACCAAGTGATAAGCCATTGTGGATGAGCAATTGTGGCGGTCTTCAACAATTCTTGTAAAACAGTACTCATGTCCATTGCACCTCCAGCTCTAATTAGAGATTACAGGCGAGGCCCATTCATGAGCACACCCGACCCTCCACCTCCTCCAAACTCCTCGGCAGCTGGGAAAAAGCTGTTACTCATTTATTAAGACGTGGTACTTCTGTGCAGCCCAGGATGGCCTTGAACGCAACAATATTCCCACCTCAGCTCTTCAAGTTTGGAGATTTCCTTGTGTCCAGGAAAGTCCCCTTTCTTTTGAAAAGTTGATTTACCTATTGTATATGTGTGTGTGTGTGTGTGTGTAAGCACATACAATTGAACTCAGGCTGTCAGACTTGGCAGCAAGTCCCCTCACCTGCCGAGCCATCTTTCTTAAACCAGTAATACCTTCATTGAAAGAGTCTGATACAGCCAGGCAGTGGTGATGCATGCCTTTAATCCCAGCGCTCAGGAGGCAAAGGCAGGTGAATCTGTGAGTTCGAGGACAGCCTGGTCTACAGAGTGGGTTCCAGGGCAGCCAAGGCTTCACAGAGGAACCCTATCTTAAAAAACAATTTTTAATTGATTTGTGTGTATATGTGTGTAGGAGTGTCTAGATTGCATGTATGATTGTGCACTATGTGCATGGCTGTTGCTCAGGATGCCAGAAGAGGGCGTAAGATCCCCTGGGTGTGGAGTTATAGACGGTTGTGAAACTCCATACGAATGCTGAGAATTGACTCACAGCCTCTACAAAAACAACAAATGCTCTTAACCACTGAGCTACCTTCCTAGCTCTAGAGGCACTGTGTTTTTCATAGTAAGATGAAATTTCATTTTAGCAAATTAACATTTAAATTGAAGTATCCCCGTGGACTAGAAATAAATTGGATGCAGCCAGTGGTGGTAGCATATGCCTTTATTTTTTTATTAATTTATTTTTTACATTCCTATCCTAGTTCCCCTCCTGCTCCCCCCACTCCCTCCTCCCACCTGCTCCTCAGAGAGGGTAAGGCCTCCCCTAGGAAGTCTACTAACTCTGTCCCATCATCTCATTGAGGCAGGACCAAGGCACCTGTCCACCCCTACACCCCTGAGTCTAGGCTGAGCAAGATATCTCTCCATAGAGAAGGGACTCCATGAAGTCAGTTTGTGCATTAGAGTTAGATCTTGGACCCACTGCCAGTGGCCTCATATATTGTCCCAGTCACACCACTGTCACCTATATTAAGGGAGTCTAGTTTTGTCTTATGCAGGTTCCCCATTTGTCAGACCTGAGTCAGTGATCTCTCACTAGCTCGGGTCAGCTGATTCTGTGGGTTTCCCCATCATGGTCTTGACTCCTTTGTTCATATTATCGATCCTCCCTCACTTCGATTGTACTCCAGGAGCTTGGACCATTGGATAGTTGTGGATTTCTGCATATGCTTCCATCTGTTTCTGGAAGAGGGTTCTAGTTTCCCTGGGGTTGTAGATTATAGACTGGGTAACTTTTGTTTTATGTCTGGTATCCACTTATGAGTGAGTACATACTATATTTGTCTTTCAGGGTCTGTGTTACCTCACTCAGCATGGTTTTTTTCTAGTTCTGTCCATTTGCCTGCAAATTTTAAGATGTTATTGTTTCTTACCTCTGAGTAGTACTCCATTGTGTAAATGTACCACATTTTCTTTATCCATTCTTCAGTTGAGGGGCATCTAGGTTGTTTCCAAGTTCTGGATATTACGAATCATGTAGCTATGAACATAGTTGAGCAAATGTCCTTATCGTGTGAGTGTGCCTTCTTTGGGTATATGCCCAACAGTGGTATCACATGGTGTTGAGGTAGGTTGATTTCTAATTTTCTCAGAAATCATCATACTGATTTCCACAGTGGTTGTACAAGTTTGCACTCCCACCAGCAATGGAGGAGTGTTCCCCTTTCTCCACATCCTCTCCAGTATAAGCTGCCATTGGTGTTTTTGATCTTAGCCCTTTCTGACAGTGTAAGATGGAATCTCAGAGTGGTTTTCGTTTGCATTTCCCTGGTGACTAAGGATGTTGGGCATTTGCTTACGTGTCTTTCCTCTTTGAGATTGTTCTGTTGATAATTCTGTTTAGATTTGTACCCCATTTTTAAATTGGATTATTTGGTTTTTTGATGCCTAGTTTCTTGAGTTCTTTGTATATTTTGGAGATCAGTTCTTTGCCAGATGAGGGGTTGGTGAATATCTTTTCCCATTCTGCAGGGAGCTGTTTAGTCTTGTTGACCATATTCTTTGCTTAACAGAAGCTTCTCCGTTTCAGGAGGTTCCGTTTATTAATTGTTGCTCTCAGTGTCTATGCTACTGGTGTTCTATTTAGGAAGTAGTCTGCTGGCACATGCCCTTAATCCCACCACTCTGGAGGCAGAGGCAGATGAAGTGATCTCTGAGTTCAAGGCCAGCCCAGTCTAAAAAGTGAGTTCCAAGACAGCCAAGGCTACACAGAGAAATCCTGTCTCAAAAACTAAAAAGAAATATATAGCATGTTATATCAGGGAAGATATCAGTGGAAGACTGGAGGTGCAAACAAGACAAAAAGGTTATACTTTGTGGCTTGTGTAGCCATTGGAGTAGGAACACATTGGAAAGGGGAGGTAAGAGAATCCCAGCAACTTGGTCTACAAAGCAGAGGCATATCTGACTGCCAGTCAATGTGGTTGGTCACACATGCAAACACCCATGCTATGTGTGAGTCAAGACACCCACAGATGCTTTTGTGTGCAACACCGGAGTCATTTGCTTTGCGTGAGCTGGGAGTCCATCCCGTGTACACACACTGCACAGATTCTCAGGTACACAAGGATAGGGGGTATGTGTTCCCCCATATCATGTACCTGTTGAACCGGTGAGCAGGGGCTACTTAGTCCAGCAGGTCTTGCAAGAAGGCCCACATGTACTGATGCATCTCCTGAGCATGGGTCTGTGGAATCCAGTGCCCACTGCCTGGCAAGATGTGGCTTTCCAGCCGACCCGGCACAAAGCGCCTACCAATGGCTCCCACCAGGCCCTGCTGCAAAGTGTAGTCTTTCTCTCCCCACAGCAGCAGCGTGGGCGTGGACAGTTCTTGGGGCTCCAGGGGGAAGTTCCTATGGCCAAGACAGACTGTTAGACAGAAGAATGGCTACTCTCACTGGGGTAGGGGGGAGTGGCTGGTACTCTCCCGAGCTTCTCTCCTCTTACCTGAAGAGGTTCCGATAGTAGTTGATGGGTCCGATGAGGCCTCCAGGTTGTGAGAAGGGATAAAGGAACGCTTCAAGTTCACAAGGGGTTAGACATGGGATGCCGGTCTTTCGGTGGGTGTAAACTTCTTTTAGAATCTGGGTGTGCACAGGAGAGTTCTGGTTTCAGTGTCCAGTCTGCTCAACCCCAGTCTGCTATCCCCCATTCCTAGACCTCAGCCCTCACCGCACCTGGAAGTCAGACAAAGACAGCAGTTTCTCCGGCAGCCAGGGGAGTTGGAACAGGAACATGTAGTTTGATCGGAATAACTGGCCGATGTGGCGGATCGAGTACTCTGGGAAGAGGGTAAAGGATATGAGGCCAGGCTCCACACCCAGCTCAGGCACACAGACCTCCAGAACACAGCTACCGCTGTCCTGTCTGTGAAGATGCTAACCTCACTCTGGCTCGGTGCTGCCCTGCCAGGTAGTCTATAGAGCTTCAGAGGGGAGAAGCTGGAGAGGGCTCAGAGTTCAGACCTGCTCGCTGCTTTTCCAGAGGCCTAAGTTTGTTTCCAAGCACTCGTGTTAGGTGACACACAACGACCTGTGACTCTAGGGTCCAATGCCCTCTCCTGGCCTCCATGACACTCGTACACACACAGACACATACACACAGACACAGACACAGACACAGACACAGACACACACACACACACACACACACACACACACACACACACACCAAGAGAGAGAGAGAACAAAAATAACTCTTAAAAAAAAGAAGGGAGGTGCCTCCCTCTGCAACTTCTGAGTACTCCCAGAGATACCAGCAGGCTTCCCCTGCTTAGACATGGACACATTCACCCTGCTTCACAAAATAAACATTTATGGAGTACCTACTGTGTACCAGGCTCCTGAAGAAAGGGGTAAAAGGAAACAGATATCAAACACAGCAAAGAGTACAGTGCTATTCAGGTAAGGTACGGGGTAGTTCAGGGTAGAATATGTGATTAGCAATTTTGAGGCTCTAGATTCTATTATCTCCCCCTCTACATCCATACCAACTAATCAATAAAATTCAAGTAACAAAAGACATTAGGTTTCCAGAAAGGACGTCTGATTCTATTGTGGTGTGGTTGGTGCGTTGTCTGAATCTTCGCTGTGAAAAGAGAGACATCAATGCCAGGTTTGGAGACACATGCCATTCAGGAGGCAGAGGCAGATGTATCGCTCTGAGTCTGAGGGCAGCTAGTAGCCAGCCGGCTAAAGCTGCATAGTGAGACTTCTCTCAAAAAAGAGGAGGGGAGAAAAGAAGAAAAAAAGAAGGGAGAGGAAGGAAGGAAGGACATTGCTTCCTTTGCCTCTGTTTCCCCCAACTGGAAAATGAAGCTAACAACACTTGCATAAGCCCAGGAGCTCTGTAAAGCGATTGTATGCAAGTTTACCATAGGCAACTGACAGGCAGAGGTTGACCACTCTCATCCAAACAAATTCGTTCTTTTCTGGTATTTCGAGATTGGTGTTTTTGTGTAGCCCTGGAACTAGCTCTAAAACCAGGCTGACCTCAAACTCACAGAGATCCTCCTGCCTCTGTCTCCCAAGTGCTGGTAGTAATAGGTGTGCTATAGCCAACTCCACAAACTTCCCTACACACACAAAATTACTAAGACGATTACATTAACTACTTCCAGTCTGTGTGTAAGGAAGAGTATAGGAAGATTAAATTAATTTCATGCTTAGATTTATGCTCTAGCAACAAAGTTACCTATCTTTTTATTGTATAACTACTCTAAAATAATACAATATCAGAAACACTCCTGACCAGGGCCTTCCTCTCCCTCCTCCCCTCCCTCCTTCTCTTTCTTTCAACGTTGGAGATTACATCCAGGTCCTCAATATACTAAACAAGTCATTTAGCTATACTCCAGTTCTTACCTGGAGAATTTTTTATACTCACCATTAACCTGGAAATGCTCAAAAAATGTGGATTAGTCCTAAGTGTACTTCCGTTGATTTCAGTCCCCGAGACAGTGACAGGCCACAGATGCATACCCTGGCATTTAGGCATATCCCAACACTCCCAACACACCTTGGAACACTGATGAAGGCGGTGCGCTGACCACGACCATGCGCTCCACTAGGGAAGGGAAGTAGATGGAGAAATCCCAGGCAAGTATACCCCCCCAGTCGTGACTCACGAGGATGCATTTGGAGTACCCTGGAAAGGTGGAGGGCAGACATGACAGTATGAGATGTAGCTGGGTGAGGTGAAGTGTGGGAGTGGGTCCCCAGAGAGGCAAAGATGAGGAGATGTGTGTACTGGGTGGATGTGGCCTCTCCTGTGTTGGCTCCTACCGAGGCCTTGAATGATGTCCTTGATGTCAACCAGCAGCAGGTCACGGGTGTAGCAGTCCACATCCTTTGGAGCATCAGAGGGGCTATAACCACGCAGGTCTACAGCTACCACATGGAACCGGCTCTGGAACTCTCGAAGCTGGTAGCGCCAGGAGAACCTGCCCGGTGAGGGAGTTGGGAGTTGAGTCAGCCGTCTGCAGGATGCACCTCCTATATCCGGCAGATACCTTGGGCCACCCCACCTTTCTGCTCCAGACTTCTTAGAAAGGAAATGGAAGAATCCCAGGCAGAGAGGCCCAAGGCCACCTCACCTTCAACAATCTCTTCAGAGGGATAACCAGCCCTTCTGGGCAGGCATCTCTCCCTTCATACAACATCTGGACTTGATGCGCTCTGCACCCCAGGACTACTCAACGCAGTTGGTTCTCACTTCCTAAGTACCTCATGTGAGAGCTCTACTCCCCCCCCCAATTCCAGTGGGCACCAGGACCCAGGGACCCAGACATACCAGTTCTCTGGGAAGCCATGCAGAAATAGCATAAGAGGCCCGTTACCACGACCAGCGGAGACGTAGTGCAGACGCAGGCCCGAACTCTGCGGGAGGGCCCAATCTAAGTTAGAGCTGAGGTAGGGAAGAGAGCTTCCTCCCTAGACGAACCCCCAAGATCGATTTGGATTCGACATTTCGGCTCCCTTTCTTCATTCTGCATCCACCCCTCCCCCCTACGAAACCTGCCTCCGTGGGGCACTTACCCTCAGAGTAAGGAAGCAGTGCTCGCCCAGCGTGGGGTCTCTCAGGCAGGCTGGCGCTGTCAAGCGCGGGCGGCCGCAGCAGCCCCGGCGCGGGTGGCACAGCACGTTGGTGAGCGCGATGCAGCTGTAGACAAACGCGGCCACCACGGCAGCCAGATACACCAGGCTCATCACCAAGGCGCGCAGCAGCTTCAGCGAGAGGCGTGAGGGCGCCAGCAGCGCCGTCACCACAAACTCCGGCATTTCCTCGCGCTCCGGGACGACGACGGAGCCGGGGTCGGGAGCCTGAACCGGCCTCGGGAGCTCACCGCCTTTATTTTGGGGTCCCACTGTGCTGTCCGGCGCTGCGGGACCCGGGCAGAGAGCGCCACCGCTCATGGCTTACTCCAAAGCGGCAGGTAAACTACCTGGGCCGGATGGGACGCTTAAGTATGGGGTGGAGGTGGAGCTTGCGAGGACCTGGCTTCTGGGGTTGGGGAGGGACTTTGCAGGAAAGAGCGACCGTGGGCGGCGCCCTAGGACATCTTGGGTGGAGTTTAGGACAGGGACGGTGTTCGGCCTAGGGATGGCTCAGCAGGTATAGACATTTGGCATCACGCCTGGACATCTAAGTTTGATCCCAGGCAACCACACAGTTGAAGGAGAAACCTGACTCTCACAAGTTGTCACCTGTCCTCACTAATGCTGCAGCACGTGCACCGTTGGTGCTTTAATCTCAGCCCTCGGGAAGCAGAAGCCAACAGATCTCTGAGTTCGAGGCCAGCTGGTTTATTTAGCGAGTTCCGGGCCAGCCAGGGCTACATACAAAAAATAAAATAAGATAAACAGCAACTGACAAGGCTCTAAGGAAAAGAGTCGAAACCTAGAGGGACAAAGGAAAGCCCCCTGTGAGATGGGTGGAGTTTTGAGCAGGGAGCGTGGCATATTCAGGATGGGTGGACCCAGTTTAACCCAGAGGATGTGCAAGGGTGAGGGGCGTGGCTTGTGAGGGAGGAAGGGGGAATTAGGCAGATCCTGTTTTTGGATAAGTCGGAGGCTGGGCTGGGTGAAGGCCAGACCCAAGAACTGGAGTTTGTTCTGCAGCTGAAGGAAGGCCAGAAACTGACACGAGAGTGGAGCAAACCCAAAAGGGGAAGGCTCCGTAGCTGGGAGTAGTGAGCAGGTGTGGGCGGTAGGAGTCTCACCGTGTACTTCCCAAGCTGGAGGGCGCGCTATTCCCCTTGACCTCGACCTTCCCTTGCTCTAAAAGAGATCCATCATCCCTTTTACTGGGTTCCGACCCCGCAGCATCCTCTCCTCTCGTTGGCTTAGAAAAGTCCATCCACCCTACACTACTGTGATTGGACAGCAGTGGCCACTGACTTCTAAACCACAGGTGGAGCCTAGGTACTAAATAGCCAGTGTTGAGATCCAGACTCTGCAGGTGGTAGCCAACCCTGGGCAGACTCTGCCTCCCGGAGAACAGACCAGACTTGGAAGCTGGACCTAGCTTGGGCAGACTAGGTCACCGGGGATCAGGTTGGAACAGGAAGCAGGGTAGTGCCTTACGGTATGATGGGACATCACATCGAGTCGTGTCTCAGCAAGACGTAAGCTTCTTTTGCAACCTTTCCCAAGATCCTTGACTATTTTTAGGGGCACCTATTATTTAACCCTTATTAGCAACTCTGGCAGCATTATCGTCACCTCACATTGCAAATTATGAACCTGAAATGTGGGGATGAGGTCATCTTGCCTGGAGTCATATATCTGACTTAGCAGCGATCCAGGGCAACCTAAAAGCAGCGATCTGTGTTTCATCCAACACGGAGGCCACTGGCAAGCTTCCAAATTTCTTTCGGCGGTTATTTAGGTATCCAGAGAATAATTAGGTGTTTAGAGAGATGCACTTCTGGAGCGGATTCTATTACTGTGGTACTAGTGACTGAGACTAGAGCTTTGCACATGCGGGTAAGCGCTTCAGCCAGAAGCCTCACCCTTAGCCTTAAAAACATTGACTGCTGAGCCCTTAAAAAAATTGCAGGCATGAAATTTGTAGGCAAATGAACTGAACCAAGAAAAAAAAAATCATCCTGAGATAACCCAGACAGACCTAGAAAGATAAATATGGTATGAATTCACTTAAATGTGGGTATCAGCCATCAAATAAATGATAACCAACCTACAATCCATAGACCCAGAGAGGCTGGGTATAGAAGAAGGAAGCAGATTTCCCTGGGAGGGATTTTAGAGTAGATTTTACATGAGGATTGGAACATGAGGATCAGGCAGGGAGGAAAAAGTGTTGAGAGAGGGAATGGGAGAGCAACAGCTGGAATTGAGGCACATTTGAGGGATGGTATGGAAACCCAATAAAGTGGAAACTCCCTAAAATATATGAAGATGATCCTAATGAGGACTCCTAATAATAGGGGATAGAGTCCCAACTGGCCATCTCTTGTCACCAAATGAGGCTTCCAGTACCAAGGTCTAGGTTGCATTCAATTGAGTTGTTGGCCAAGGGGCTCCCCTGGGAATCCCCAAACAATCCAGGCTGTTGCTAAAACAATGGGTCACTCTCTCGGCAAACTAACAGCGAGGCCCCATTGTAGAGGACAACAGCAACACAAAACATTGAACACAAAGAAGTGGGGTGTTACTGTAGTTTCTCGTCCCACCAAGTCCCCACCCTCTTTTCAGCCCCAAATACACACACAGAGATGCTATATTAATTATAAACTGTAGGCTGAGGGCCAGGGCTTCTCACTGGCTCTGTCTCAATTACTAACCCATAACTACTAATCTATGTATTTCAACATGGCCTTATCTTAGCAGAGAATGCCGGGCGCATCCTATCCTCCCGGTCTACATGGTGTCCCTCTCTGCCTGCCTTTCCCAGAATTCTCCTAGTTCCACCTATCTTCCTGCCTGGCCAATCAGTGTTTTATTCATCAACCAATAAGAGAAACATAAATACAGAAAGACATCCCCCACCAGTGGAGCTGGTGCCTACTGAAGCCTTCACCCCTATGTTCTAGTGTAGCTGGTGTGGGAAGGTACTCTGCAGAACTCCGCGAGCACCAGCCCAGACACAAAGTTGTTGATCTGCAATCTGTTGTTCTGTCTGTAAGACATGCTAGGGCAAGTGGCGGCACAGGAACTGTGGTCTGACTTAAAGCCCACTCCATGAAACAGAACCCACACCCAACACTGCTTGGGTAACCAAGAACCAGAGACTAGATAACCTAGAGACCTAAGGTAAAACCAAGCTATTCTGCTCTACTCATAGAACAATGCCTTATTCAGTCATTATCAGAGAAGCTTTCCTCTACAGCTCATGGGAGCAGATGCAGAGACACACAGCCAGGTGTTACATGGGGAGTTCTTGGAACATTCAGCCCTAAATGGGAGGTCTCTATCAAATCCCTCCCCTCAGAGCTCAGGGAATCCCAAGGAAGGGGAGGCAGAAAGAGTATAAGAGCCAGAGGAGCCGGGCATTGGTGGCGCACGCCTTTAATCCCAGCACTTGGGAGGCAGAGACAGGCGGATCTCTGTGAGTTTGAGGCCAGCCTGGTCTACAAAGTGAGTTCCAGGACAGCTTCCAAAGCCACAGAGAAACCCTGTCTCAAAAAACCAAAAAAAAAAAAAAAAAAAAAAAGAGCCAGAGGGGATGGAGGACACCAGGAGAACAAGGCCTCTGAATCACTGAGCAAGGCTCATATGCACTCAGTCAGAGACTGACGTAGCAAGCAGCTAAATACATATATTTAACTTCTGAGTGACAACTAACTTTCTTGTTTTTGAACATGTATAGTCCTGGCCATCCCAAAACTTCCTTTGTAGACCAGGCTGGCCTTAAACTATTGTTCACCTGCCTCCACCTCCCAGTGCTGGGATTAAAGGCATGTACCACCACAGCCCAGCTAATTCTTGTGCCTGCTCTTAGGACCCTTTTCCTTCTGTTGGGTTGCCTTGTCCAGCCTAAATCTTTTAGAAGCTTGTTCTTTTTTAATGAGACAGAAAGGAAGTGGACCCAGAAAGGGGAGGTGGGAAGAAACTGTGAGGTGAGGAAGGAAAACTATAATCAAGACCCCCTTTATTTGAAATAATTTTTCAATGTAAGGGGGAAGGGAGAAAAATCATTGCTATTTACTATTGGTTTTTGTTTTCAGACTGATTCTTGCAACTATGTATCTCAGGATGACCTGCAACTGGCCTGTCCTTCTGGCTTGATGGGATTACAGACACAGGTCAACTGTATCCGAGTATTTGAGACAAGAGTTTATAAACTCACTTGTGCTTCAGCTTCCTGCAAAGCTCCTGATGCCTGACTCAGTGGCTAGGTCTTTGAGACAGGGTCCCATGTACTCTAGGTTGCAAACGCTCTATGTAGTGAATGATCAGTAACTTTTGATGCTTCTGCTTTCATTCCTGAGTGTCACAATTATAGGGATGCATTACCATGTCTGGTTTGTGTGAACCCAGAACCTCTTGCATGCTATGTATGTGGGTAATTATACATTCATCATCTTGGAACATTATCAAGTCACTCTTATTACCACCTATTGGACATAGTCCCCTCACTTACACTACTCATGTCTTGTCCCACTTCCCACTGTTATACGCCTTTTCATTATCAAACGGGATACTAAACAGTATATTTATTCTGCCCAAAGACAATAATTAAACCCGTGGCAAATGGCCATTCACATTGTTTGGTCTCAGGAAACAATACACTTGAGCAGAATTATACTGCCTTTATTGTCCTTAGGCATCTAATTAATAACTTTAATAACTTCCCTTCATTGAACTCTACTATACAGTCTTGTCTGGAAACCCCAATTTACCTCCATTTTCCAATTCTACACTCAAAAAGACATCAGTAATCACAGGAGGGTAACTTTATATTCAGTACAAATGTTTATTTTTGCAATGAGAACTGCACAAAAGAAACCCCTTTAGTATATAAGTGAAAAGTCTACGAATTCCCATCTACAAATGTCTAAAGTATTTTAATACAAGTCTTAAGATTTCACTGACATTAATTATTGGCCAAGGGACCCGTGCAATACAGTACAGTGGGGGCTTGTACACACCTTATTCTTGTATAGGACTAAGATGTCTAGTACTGCAGGAAGGATTTGAAAATGGTCAGAAATTAAATAAATCCCAGTTCTAATTACAACCCAGTTAGAGAACACCCATCAGGAAGGTGTGGAGGCCATTTAAAACCTGAGCCAGGTACAATTAAAATCACTTCCCCAGCTCAAAACTGGGGCCCAGCATGGGGAGGCTCTGAATGAGGGAGAAAACATGAGTGGGATGTGGTGGAAGAAACCTCAGAGGACCAAAATGCCATCGTTTCCCCACTAGCATATGAAATGCCTGGAGGGAGACAAGACCTTAAGGATCGACAGGGAGGTGAACACTGACTGGGTGCCCTAGTCATGGCCTACACTGTGAGGTTTGGTTTTTCTGGTTGAGGGGTGGGAGATACGGCTCACCTTGTCTCTGCATACATATGTAATTATCTTACATCTTAGGGATTGTTCTTGGGGGCCACCCATGCCTTATAGCTGGGGCATGTGAGAAAAGGTACAGGTACAAGGCAGGGAAGCCATCTGGGGGCTTTCTCAACAGAAATGTGTTCATATGTGGGGATACAGAGATTCTATTTGGAGGGAATGTATACTTACCTAAGAGTATTTGGTTAACCCTGAGCTTAAATCAAATTAGGAGTCAGGTAGAGGCGAGCACGGTGGGAAAGTGGCCAGAGCCTTGTGTAAAGAGGGGATCAGGATGGAGGGGGCCATCATAAGAGAGTGGTCTGTGTATTAGCCAAGGTTTCGCCACCCAGTCCAGGTATTTACAGGGCTTCTGACTCCCTTTACAGCTTCAGCTTGGCTGGAACTCTGAGCCCAAGCAGCTCTTGTGCCAGTGGAGAGGGGCTCAGTGGCCACTGTGGTAAATCTTATTTATGCAAAGGGACCTGGGCACCTGGGCCTAGCCTAAACAAACTAGAAAACCTAGTTGGTTCACAAAGAAATGTCAGGGAGACACCAGCATTAAAAAAAGAGAGATGTGTTTATTCCATGATCAGTACAGACCAAATGCATATTCACCATATGAAAGTCAAGCCAGTCAGTGACTCCAGATTTTGGCCAACATCGAGGCACCAGCACTGTGGTGTAGAGCGGGTTCTCATGGCACGTGTAACCTCGCCAGGGGCTCCGTCAAAAAAAAAAAAAAAAAAAAAAAAAGAAAGAAAGAAAAAAGGAGGTGGGGGAGAGGTGCAGCCCCCTGGTCTAACCAGGTGCTGGATGGGGGGCTTCTGCCTCAGTTTGCAGCCCCCCAGGGCCTGGGACCCACCTCATCCCCAGGCTCTCCCTTTTTAGGTAAAAAACCAGATTTGACATTAAAAAAACAAAACAAAACAAAAAAAGAAGCCAAACAAATAGGAGGGAAAGGAAAAAGAAATTGCAGCTTTCTGGTTTTATAATTAAAAATAAGACTAATAAAGTTTGAAACTGAATACAAGCAGGATTTTTTTTATGTTTTGTGTGGGGTTTTTCTTTTTGTGGATTTGTTTTTGTTTTTTTTTTTTTGGTTTTTTTTTTTTTACACCAGTCTGGTGGAGTCACCAACAAACTTCAAACAAAGATATGCCAACTATGTTCACTATACAGTACAGCCACGGTCACACACTACCCACAGCGCGGTGGAGCCGCCACTCAGAGAGGAGACCATCACACCATTTCGGAGATAAGCAGTGCCACTGTGTCTGAAGGAGAAGAGAGAATTAAAAATAAAATAGAATTCAACAAAAAATATATATATATATATATAGGAAAAAACCAAAACAAAACAGAATCAGAAACACAGGTGGGAAGGAACTGACTTTGGTTGGTGGCCTTACTCCCCAGGTGAGGCCTGTCCATGCATGTGAACAGCCACCTCTATCCAAAGTGCCATGGACGGACACACTTCCATGGCACTATTCCCTTTTGCACAAGCGAACACTTACAGAGAGCGGCTCTCATTTAAAGGCTTGTGGGGGGAGGGGAGAGGATCTGTTCAAGGCAAAGTCAGTGCCAGCAAGGGGATGGGCCAGTGCCTTGCCGTTCCAGTCCACACAGGCTTGCCCTGGCCTCCTGGGAGTGGGCAGCGATGGCTGGGGTGTGAAGGACTCCCAATGGGGTAGGACGTCACAAACGTCATGTTCTCAGGGACAGAAAACCAGTCATGGTGGCGGCAGCAACAATGTCCTGTGTATACTGTGTAGACATTTGGCGCAGAAGGGCCTCTGCCCCGCACGCGGGGACGCAGGCCTTGGGTCCAGCCGGCACTTGACTCATATTGAGGCGTGCTCTGAACTGACGTCCT